CCGGAAAGATAAGTCGAAATAACTCGTAGGGTGCGTGAGTGGGCAGTGGGACAAATCGACTTGTCTCGTTTTGACAGGCGCGACCAAACGAGATAAGTCAGAGTCTTGACATATCTACAAAACCATTAACGCTTTGTTGAAATGACTTTTTCTATGTTGATCAGCATTGCAAAGCGAACAAGATGGCGCACCCGAAGTATAGAATATTATACGGGAACATGTTTTTCGCCTCTCCTGAAAAATCGTGTTTTTCGACTTATCCCCTTTTTCCGCTTCGCCACTGAAAGTTTGACCCTTTTCCCATGATTTCATGCTGGTCTGGTTCATTTGCCTCGATTATATAGTTTACAAGCGGGCTCGAAAGAGTATCCCAAGTTATCCCATGACCGGGGGTAACTTGGGACAGGAGGTAATTACCTACATTCCCATGCATCTATTGATGTTCATAGATGTAATAAATTTTAGTCACAACATGAAGACCAAGAATTCAGGCCTAGGAACTCGTGTGGGACCGATGTTAGACTTTATCTAGGACTCTACGAGGAACTCTCTTTTTTTCGGGTATTTTCCAGGCATTATCTGAAAAGTTCCAAGTATGGATCACCAGAAGACAAAACTGCAGAGCAAGGCATCTCTTTCCATCATCAGAGTAACATCCGAAGTTAAGGTTATCCGAAGTTAAGGTTATGTCAGAGACCGGGTCAGACAACTCCTAAGAGGCTAGGACTGCTGGAAACATAAGAAAAAGACTGTCCCAAGTTACCCCGTAAAATTTCGAGTTTTGATAAATTGAAGTCTGGACCGAAGATGGGAAAACTGAAATCAAGGCCCTTTTGCGACTGTTATTGTGTATAATACATGTATTATCTCTCAACCCGGGAGAGACTACTCGGCCAAATCTGCCTTTCACTCCTTGCACCAGGGTCAACTTGTATGTTTGACCTATTTTGTCAAAAACCCTATTATGAAGTTTCCCGTTTCTCATTGGCTGAGCGATAGCGAAGCCTGTTACTCCAGTGGGGTTGAAAAGTTTTGTCTGTCTGTCTGTCTGTCGGTCTGTCTGTCGGTCTGTCTGTCCGCACTACTCCTCCTGAACGGCTCGGCCGATCTCGGTGAGATTTTGCACACTTCTTGGGTATGTCCTTGGCTCAGCACACGCGAAATTTCACCATCCTAGCTCAACTGGTTCAGTTTTTATAGGCGAAAAACACCTAAAAAACGGCGAAAAATAGTCATTTCTGCAGATAGACCACTTCTGTCTTGGATAAAGGGAGGTCCCGCCCCCCAGCCTCGACAAGTTAAAAAGTGACAAGGGTCAAGATCGTGTTATCTGTACATAAAACAACTCTATTTAGAATGTAGGGGGTTCTGGGGGGCGGAGCCCCCCAGCATTCAACAAGTTAAAAAATAACCGACAAGGTAGGTTTACGCCAGACCGCGTCTTGTCGTAACAGGCTTCGCGATGTCTCGCTGCCTGTTCCTCCAATCCACGCCTGGCGTACCTACCTTGGCCTGCGGCGCTAGCCTGCCTGCGGCAGGCAATGGCTTGTCCATTGTCGGTTATTTTTAGGGGTTCCGACGAAGGAGGACCCCTATTGCCCGGGACGGCTCAGATTTTTTCTTCCGCCGACGCAAATCTAAAAATGGTTCCCGCCAAATTACTCCTTATCATAAAAAAATGAAAATTGCTGAAAATTTCGAAAATTTATCGTAAGAATTTAACGTAAACGACAAAAACATAAATTTGCAATAATGAAGCACCCTTATCCCTTCACATTTTCCAGAAACGTTTCAAAGACAAAATGTGCTACTCCCCAAAACTAAGCATCCTGCCTCATCAAAGTGACAAAAAGTCATGTCTGTTCTGACAAAATAGTGAAAACATGAAAAAAAGTCACCATGGCAACGACACGATGTCATCGTACCAACTGTCAAAATTTAAAGTCGCCGATAAAAAGAAATCAAAGGGCGTGAAATTCGAAAATGCCAATACTAACGCATTGCACGGTGTCCCGACATTGGAACATCTTTGAAGTCTGTCAGTAAAAAGTTCGTAGCAAAAAAGACGCAATAAATTAATTGTCGGGGGTTGGCAACAATTTTCTCGGCGTCTGCGCCCTTTCGAAAATCGCGAGGCTGAAAAAACGAGTAGTCGCGCATTGAAACTGCCCCTCCATTGTTGCTGAGGTTGAATTGTTTGGCTTGCTTTTAAAGGTTGCGGTTCTCTTGTGATGTTTTCCTCAATTCTGTAACCAGCACGACGTTGGTTTGACGAACTTTATAAACTCGGGAGAGGTGGTTTCGAAACGCGGATGACTTTAGTTTGACGAACATGAGCCCTGTAAATCGCGAGATCGCGAGATGGACTGAGATGGTCATTGTGTTAACTGAATCAGGTTTGGGGATGTAAAAATGCCGGTAGGATTCAAAGTTACGTAAATAACGGTAAAATTAACGTAATTAACGTTTAGACGACAGACTTCAAATTTATTTCCACAACCGGAACACCGTGCAATGCGTTAGCATTGGAATTTTTTAACTTGTTGAATGCTGGGGGGCTCCGCCCCCCAGACCCCCCTACATTGTAAATAGAGTTGTTTTATCTACAGATAACACGATCTTGACCCTTGTCACTTTTTAACTTGTCGAGGCTGGGGGGCTCCGCCCTCCAGACCCCCCTTTCTCCAAGACAGAAGTGGTCTCTCTGCAGAAATCTCTATTTTTCGCCGTTTTTTAGGTGTTTTTCGGCTATAAAAACTGAACCAGTTGAGCTAGGATGGTGAAATTTCGCGTGTGCCGAGCCAAGGACATACCCAAGAAGTGTGCAAAATCTCACCGAGATCGGCCGAGCCGTTCAGGAGGAGTAGTGCGGACACACAGACAGACAGACGGACAGACAGACAGACAGACAGACAGACAGGAAAAACTTTTCAACCCCACTGGAGTAACAGGCTTCGCTATCGCTCAGCCAACAACGGACAAGCCATTGCCTGCCGCAGGCAGGCTAGCGCCGCAGGCCAAGGTAGGTACGCCAGGCGTGGATTGGAGGAACAGGCAGCGAGACATCGCGAAGCCTGTTACGACAAGACGCGGTCTGGCGTAAACCTACCTTGTATACTAATTGTGAGGCTATGCGGCTTTTTCACCTTTCCGCGCGTGCCCTGAGGCCTCTGAAACAAAATCCTGCCGGGGGTTTGACGCCAGGAACCCCCGTCGCTGAATGGCAGCACCAACAAGGTGTACAGGGCAGACTGTCCCAAGTTACCCCCGGTGTCCCAAGTTACCCCCGATGACGGTATGTGCTTCTTTGCGCACAAGCTTTGCACGCCGAGCATGCGTTTCGATATACACCAATTTTGTGCACAGCAACGCACACTTTCGTGCTCAGTTGCGCACAAATTCGTGCATTTCAAAACGCCTGCTCGATTTTGAGCGAAGCTCATACTCAAAAAAGCAGATAGTAATTTAGAGTGAACGATGCACAGTTATGCTCTACAAATCAAAGAGTGTACATGGTACGCTCTTACTGGAGCATGCCTGCAAGCACGCTCTAACTAGCGCCCCCAGACCCCCCCTTCATTCAAGGTAGAGTTGCTTCATCTACAGATAACATGATCTTGACCCTCGTAACCTTCGAACTTATCGAGGCTGGGGGGCTTCGCCATCAGACCCCCCCTTCTTCAAGACAGAAGGCATCCTGCCTGCAGAAAACCAAATTTTTCGCCGTGTTTTAAGTGTTTTTCGGCTATAAAAACTGAACCAGTTGAGCTACGATGTTGAGATTTCGCGTGTGCCGAGCCAAGGACATGCCTAAAGAGTGTGCAAAATCTCACCGAGATCGGCCGAGCCGTTCAGGAGGAGTAGTGCGGACAGACACACACACAGACAGACAGACAGAAAAAACTTTTCAACCCCACACTGTTAAAAGAAACTGTAGGAAAACAGCACATTTACCAACGAGTGATTTGCTTTTAAGCAGCACGTGTCATCGGAACTTAAAACAGCACAAATGCTGTTAGGAAACAGCAAGTTTCATCATTGTAGAAAACAACAAATATAGTGTTATTGAACGATTTCCAATGCTGGAAAACAGAACATCTTGTTTGTAAAATTAATGATATATGCTGTTTTGGAACGGTATTCTGTCATTTAAAAACAACACCATTCAATTGAAGATTTGCCGGAGCATTTTGCAGCTCACGGCTCAAATCAAACTCCAACTATGTCAAAATAAATTCTGTTGTTTCTGAACAGCATTTGTGTTGTAAAGTTTTTTAGCAACACTTCCAATTTTTAAACAGCGGTGAACTGTCCAAGAACTGCACGAACTGTTACAAAACAAATGTCTTGTTTGAGCCGTCAGGAAACTCCTATTTCCTTTTTGTGAATAACAGAGAGACCGCGTTGAAGAACAGTGCTGTTTGTAAACAGAAAAGAGCGTTTCTGAATGACTGCTAGTATTGGATAAGACTATTAGGACCCTCGACATTTTTTTTTGTAAATGTATAACAACTCTTTTGTTTGAAAACAGAAAAGTGTTGTTTATGAACAGGTTGGTGCCATTTGGAAATGGTAATTCTGTTACACAACAACTTATTGTCAGAGGTCAGATACAGAGAGCCATCATCCCTTTTTACAACACTGCTGTTGGATAACGACTCAGTGTCCAACAATATGCCGTTCTTCTACAACAAGTGTTGCTAAAAAACTTAACAGGATATATGCTGTTAATTAACAGCATCTTTTCTATCAGTGCACTGGAGTAACAGGCTTCGCTATCGCTCAGCCAAAAAGTGTCGAGATCATGTAGAAAATAAAAAGTCCATTGCAAACAACCGGTTGTTTGTATCACGAACCCTTGCATACACTTCGTATTGTTGCAAGCCATGGGTTCGTAATACAATGGAGCCAAACTCTTTGAAAGCTGCAAACCGAATGGCTTGCAAAGCGAACACATGCTTCGCAAGGTGCTGAGAGTGGTGACAAGTAATTTTCTGCAGATGTGGTTAGAACCAATCGCCTCTGCGGCGGCGTGGCCCGCCTCAGCTCAGTGCTCGGCTGCCTCCATCTTCGCGACTCTGGTCGCGGCCATCGTTGCCAAGGGCCTCAAGGCGGCGCAACTGAAGGCCGCCGCGACCCGGGACGCAGTGCAGGTGAGTGCGCGTGCCGCCGCGCAAGTCACGTCACAAACCAAACGTGCTGTACAAATATCGCTGAAAATGTATCGGCGTGGCGTGACTTCGTGCCGTTTCAGCACAGTGAAAACTCTACGAAGAATCGCTTTCGTACTAAGAAAATGATGGCATTGCGAAATCTACGTAGAAATGCTTCGTATTGTGATGCAAAATCCATCGTAAAACGAAACATGTCTTCATAGGGCGAAGCAATTGAACAATGCCTTCATTTTCCTCGTATACAGAGAAAATTTTAGAAAAACTTTTAAGGCTTCGCCAGTTTGCGCGCTCTCCCCGTCTGTCTCTCCACCCAACCGATTAATTGCAATCTAGAAACAGGGAATGTTTTTGACCCTCGCAGAAAGACTATGACTTCATCGTGATTGGTGCCGGCAGTGCGGGGTGCGTCGTTGCGAACCGCCTCAGCGAAGAAAAGAAATGGAAAGTTCTGCTGCTAGAAGCTGGGCCCGAAGAAACGGACTTGAACATGGTGCCGGCAATGGCAAGCAGGTAAAATCAACTGGAAAAGTGACAAAAGTTAAAGTACATTATTGGTCGTCAAGGATAAACATTTACACTCTCAGCACGTTACTGACCTTTTACTCGTTAAGTACATATTCGTTTATGCAAGGATAATACTTAATGTTTTCTAATGAAGTATTGCTACTTCCTTTAGTAAAAATATTTCTAAATTCAAATTGTCAGTACATTATTTAATTTTTCTTAAGTCGTGGGGTCCTATTGAAATGATCTCATCTGGACGATCCCCTAACGAGAATCTTATCTCAAACGCAAGCGGATTTCACTCAGTTTCATCATTTGGGACAAGCACGAGAGAAAGCGGAAAATCTTTCTACATGTACTATTGGTATCTTTGATCTTTCACCTTCAGGGTTAAGTGAATGAAATCACAAATATTTTGATTTTTAGCTGTATCAAATGATCAAACTGAGTGAAATTCGACTGCATTTAAGATAAGGTTCACTTTGAGGGAACGCTCAGATGAGATCTTTTGGATAGGACCCCTCGAAGTAGTTCTTTAAGAAACGAAAATGGTTGTACAAATTACTTGCATAAGTATTGAGCAAGTATCACTGTCAGAAATGTTGTCGTAAATAAGCGACAAAAACGTCGCTAATTTAGATAGCGACAGAAATCGTCCTGAAACTACTTCGTCGTAACTGAACGACTAAAAAAATCATTTCTCTATGACAATGTCGTAATCGCAATTACATATTTTGAAATCTGATATTCCCGAAAAGTAGATGAAAAGTTGGAATTTTGCTCGCTTATTTACGATTTGTGTCGTTCATTTACGATTCATTACACAAATTTACGAAAAGATTCGTAAATGTACGACCTTAATCATAACTGCACGACATATTCCATAGATAAATTACGATCGTTCGTAAATTTACGATTAAGTTGTAAATTTACGACTTAATTCGTTTCAAAACGGAACGTCTAGCTATCAAAATTAGCGATAAATGTGTCGTAAATTTACGACTCAAGTCGTATATTGACGACTTGAGTCGTAACAAAATATTTCTTTTAAAAACGACCTAACTGTTTTACAAAATGTCGTAAATTTACGATTATTTTTAACAGTGTAAGCAAAAAGTCACTACCGTGCTAAGGTAGTAGTAACCAATAACTGGCTTAATCAGCGTCATTTATTTAACCTGTCTTTCAGATACCTGACCGATGACTTTTTCTGGTGGAAATACACAACGCAGAAGAGTGGCTGGGATCCCGGCTCGCGGGCTAGCCGAGGCAAAGGGATGGGCGGATCGAGCGCAGTAAACGCCATGCACTTCACTCGGGGCAACAGAGAGGACTTCGAACACTTGAAGGCCTTGGGCAACACGGGATGGGGCTTCGAGGACGTGCTCAAATACTTCAAGAAGGCCGAAAACAATCACGACTTTCCCAAGGACACCACCTACCACGGCACAACAGGCCCGCAGGTACTTAGCACACTACGCGAGGTCAAGTGTTCTCTTCGCGATCTTTTTGCGGTCGGAGGACGTGCGAGACGTCAAAAATGATTATGAGATCTTTGCAAACCGTCACTTAAGACTAAAATAACAATTTTTTTAGACGTCTGAAGCAGCTATTGTGAGTGCGTCGAATGTCTCTAAACCACTGCAACTCAGGTCGTTGGTTCGCGCGGCGAAGACTTAACGATGGGACCTAAGGGGTTTAAACTTGGTGTGGATCATCAGAATAAATGTCATTCTGGTGTCAAGTGCACTGTTGGAAATTAGCTCCGAAATTTTATGGAGAAAAACCCTATAATCACGTTCATGGAGACTCCATTCATTTTCCATTTTTTTCGGTGAGATTTTCGCAGGGCTTATACAGATGTTCTTCGGAGCATTCCTTGGGTCCAGATAGGAGGTAAAATGCAAGTCTTTTCTCAGATATATTAAAGAGGACTTCGCTGGAGCATTTTTTGGTCTGAAATTGTCAAAGAAGGGACAATCTCAGTCGAGCTCATTTGACTTATATCCTGTAGCTTTCCCTTAATATTATGAAAACTGAGCTCAAGAAGTAGGGGTTCACCTTTCCCTCAAATTTTAACTGGTTGCAAACCCTTTCTTCGTGTTTTTGTGATAGTGAAGCGTGCATTTTTGTTCAAAATTCCGAACTTTTTCGGAGAAAGCCCAGAATTTGCATTAATGGAGAGCTCCATGCAGAAGTTTCGGAAAAACTCCATGATTTTTCCATTTTTTTTCGGAATTTTCGGACAGTGTGGGGAATATTTTTGAGAAATGATAGAACTTTAAACAACATGGCTAAAAACATGTTCAGGAAACACCATTTGTCTAGACCTGGTTTCTTTCAAAAAACTACAGTAAAAAACAAGTTTGATCGCTATTTTTTTTTATTCACACCAGAATTACAGGTGTCCTGTGCGTCTGTGAAATCTCGTTCAAATCAGCCCAAAACTGCGCTCTGTACCACGCTAACCGTGCTGTTCTTTTTTTTTCTTTTTTGCAGTAGTTTCGGAAACAAATGTCTCCACTCCATACATGTGATCTTGGTCCGAACCGAAAGTAAAATAAGTTCGCCTAATCAGTTTAACGTACCTTACTTCGTCTGCCCGGAAATAATTTTCGGAAACATTCAACTTTTTTAACCTTGCGAAGGTTACTACCCCATTGAGAGAGTGGTGGTGGATTACGCACGTTGAATAACATCCTGCTTTCCTGAGGAGTATTGCAGTGTTTCAAAGAGATTCGGCGACGCCGTGACCCCCGCACTGCCTCAACGCGGTATCTTTGTTCCAGGACGTGATGCTGGACAGGTTCAGGGACCCCAACACGGCGCTGCTGGTGCAGGCCTACGAAGAGATCGGCATGGCCAGGGTGGAGGACGTGAACGGAGCCAGCCAGCTGGGCACCTCCACCGTCGGCGGAGTGTCTTGGGTTTGTAACTGACAAAAGAAGGGGTCCCACACACTAAATGTTTAAGCAGAATTTCGTACGCGCAACTTGCACGATTCTGTGCACGTGCAATTTGAACAATATCATGTATAAAAATGCATAAGTTTGTGCAAACTCTAGCACAATTTAATGCACGACGGTTGCAAAATTGCACGGAAAAAAATACTTAGTCCAACCAAATTTTAGTTGGCCCAACCGATGCTTCGGTTGGTTTTGGCCCAACTAAGATGTTCCGTAACAGTAACGAAAATTTTGTTAGAAGAGCAGAAAAGTTTGTTGCCTCAACGAATCCATCGTTGCAGCAGCAAATTGGATCGTTGCAGTAGCCGACTCTTAATACGGTCGTGCCAAGCAAAGATTTCACTGCTGGAACGAACCTTACGTTGTCCTAACAAATTTTTCGCTCTTCGAACGCAATATCTTAGTTGGGCCAAAACCAACCGAAACTCGAACCGAAACATCGGTTGGAACAACTAATTTTTTTTTCCGTGTGTACATTAACATTTAAAGTGCTGGAGGGAGATCGTCCATATTGTGTATTCCCCCACCAGCGTCTTTTGCTCAAATACTTTTTGCCTATTTCGTTCAGGCACAAATCCGTAGCTAATATGATAGAAATGTACTTAAACATTTACTTTGCTACAGGTTTAAGTTGTAACTTCAGCTTTAGCCAGCTTTACACGGATGACATGCTCCACTCTACAAAGAATCGCTTCGTAATATGAAGAAAATAATTAGCCTTTTCAAATGTTCGAAGAAATGCTTCGTATTATGAGACAAAATCCCACGTAATACGAAGCATTTCTTTGTAATACAAAGTCTCCAACGCTTATATTTTTTTTTCGTAGTTGAGCGATTCCTTATCTAGGGAGCACAAGACTTTTTTTATGTCAGCGATCTGGTCCAACTTCGTTAGGGAGCTATGCAAGGAATCGTAAATTTCTTATCGTAGACCCACACTGCAAGAAATTCCCACAACAAAAGTACACAAACTACTGGCAAATTTTTTATCAGGAATTTATTGTACTTCAAAAGCACAACAATTGTTGTACAAAGTAATGGAACCGGCATGACGAGTGCTGTGCAGTCCAGGCCTCGTTGTGGTTTGTACAACTCTCGTTGTACTTTATACAATCCCTGTTGTACTTTTACTGTTCAGTTTTTTGTTGTATTATTCACAATTTTTCTTGCAGTGCACCTTAAACGGTGTAGCAGCTGCTACACCGTGTACCCCATTTAGGTGAGCGATTCTCACGTTTCGGGGTAGTTTCGTTTCTTCTGACTCCTGTGCCCAAACGAGCGCAGATATCGACATGGGGTTCGTTTCTGATGTTAGGGAGGGCCATTACCCACTAAACGCACACATTTCGAAAAGTTCACGTTCGTTGGATTGGGCTTCGTAGCGTTTGGAACACCCTAAATGTAACTTCCGTGATTGTCCAAAGAGAACATACTCGAACTTTCCGCCCCCAGTGTGGCGGTGTGGTTCGAAAATGCTGCCAACTGTCGATGGGGATTCGAAGCTTGGCATGTCTCGAGCTAATTTCAACCGAAGACCAATACGCCAGACTTCTTTCAAAGGTGCTTATGCTGCAACGAAAAATGTCCACCGTATATTCAATTTCACTACACAAATTTCGAAAAGGCAGCTCTGGACTTCTCCCCAAGCCAAACTTTTAACTTTCCATGACACAAGCCATCAAAGTGGAGTCCCTGGGATATAATTGCATGGGTCGCGGAAATCTAAGATGCTGTGCACGGTCTCAAAGGGGGCTAGAGCATTATAAAATGGCGTGTATCAACAATTACCTGTTACTTCCGTGGCACCCTTTACCCAATGTTGCAGCAGCACTAGGTGAAAAAAATTTCCGCTTAAATGTCGGGCTTAGAGTATCATTTGACCCTGGAACGTCTTTTAAGCCACAGCAAGCCCGACTCAGCCGATAAAGCCGATTTTCACACTTTGTAACTTCCGTGATAACGTAATTTCCGTGATCAAAACACCCACTAAAACGTATGGGAATACCTTATGACTCATGTTTTTAGGAAGGTAGTACAGGGTCTTTACTATAAATACCATAGCCATAACTCTAGTATCATTCAGGACCCCAATAATCAGAAAAACTTAATTGGATATTTCTCACTTTCGGCAAATCAGAGACGCCAAAACTACCCCGAAACGTGAGAATCGCTCAGGTGCCCCTGGGTCCGCTAATCTTTGTGTGCGGTCCCAGGCGCCAGGGGCAGTGCTCAACGGCGAGCGCCGCAGCTCCAACCGCGCGTACCTGGGCGCCGCGGTGCGCAAGCGCCCCAACCTGACGGTGCAGACGGGGGCCTTCGTGCGCCGGGTCGTCGTGTCGGGCGGCCGGGCCGTGGGCGTCGAGTACGACGGGCCCGCCGGCAGGAAGACCGTCACCGCCACCAAGGAGGTGGTCGTGTCCGGCGGGGCCTACAACTCGCCGCAGGTCGGTTGCATTCACACTGCCAATGTCTTACGGTGCACCAACACATTATGGTGGAAATTTTCTCCATAATACCAACGCAATTCGTCATATGTTATGAAGTCAGCTGCACCACCATAATATGGACTATTATCACCATAATGCGGAGAATCCTCCCTGTACAACATTTAGAGTGCACTGATATTTGCGAGGGGGTTCGCACTCCTAAAACCTCTGACCCGACTATTACGCTCTGCCTCAATACAAGATTTGGGAATTGAGCTAAAACAAAACCAAAAACACCCAATAGGTTAAAGTTAGAGAATTCCGGTTATTCCGCGTACTATTTCGCACGCTTAAAACCTTACGAAGTATTTTGAGCATACATACTTCAAACTAATTGACTTTGTTATGCGAAGAAGCAGTTCGTAAATTACGAAGTATTTTCTTTATAAGCTTATGTATGCACGCCCAAAATACTTTATTACAACAAGCTGCTTTTCTTTGAAGAGCCTAAAATAGTTCTTACTGATTTCAGAGTAAGCGTGCTAATCCAGAGTGACCCGACTATTAAATTACGCGAGTGCATACCCCCCCCCCCGCATATTTCTACACAGTCACTTCCTAAACACTTCCTAATACAAAGAAAATGAAGGCATTGTAAAATCTAGGAATGCTATGTCAAAATCCTTCGCAATACGTATTCATATAACGAAGCAGTTTTACAATGCCTTCATCTTCTTCGTAGATGTGACGCAAATGTTTCGAAGGCTTAATATGTCAAGTTTTAGCAGTGATAAAAAAGGCTGCTGTGAATCCTTGAATTTATCGCATCTTGTATGATGGCGTCTACTTGTGAATATGTGTGTACATGCCTAGTACACACGGCAAAAACAGTTTTACCTGTGATGGCGTTGAAGAACAGGTGAATCTTTTACTTCCACCGATCGGAACGATGGTTTCTGTCATCGCATGGATCAAGGCAAGGGGAAGGTGGTAGAGAATGATGACTGCCTTCACCGCACCTCGCTCTGTGACTTCCCAGATACTGATGTTGTCCGGCATCGGGCCCAAAGCCCACCTGCAAGACGTTGGCATCAAGCTCGTGCAGGACTTGCCCGGGGTCGGCCAGCGTCTTCACGACCACATGTTCGGCAGTGGCGGAGTCAAGTTTCTTCTCAGCAAGACTGCCAAATTGGGAACCGTGCAGCAATACGTCGACACCGTCAAGGAGTATGTGCAGAAGAGGACTGGCCCACTCAGCGCTACTGCCAATCCGGTTCGTGCTCATTCGTCTCGAGTTGTCTCGATTGACTATGACGTCGCAGGCCCATGACGCCTTCAGCCAATTTTTAATCTATTCTATGAGGCTGGCCTAAACGTCGTATTGACACGATTGCCATTAAGAAGGCCAGGTTTGTACCTGCCTCGCAACACTGTGGCAAGAAGCTACCGAAAAGTCTGTAAAAAGGTTCTGGTAATTCTCCGTAGGACCGCACAGTGTTCCCCGTAGAACTACTGTCTTCCAGGTCCTATGGAGAATACTGTAAGATCACTGAAAACGTAATGGTCGGACACATGGCCAAATAATGACCGGACAAAAAGTCGCGCGAAAAATTGGCGTGACACGAAATTTACGCGGATAAACGGCGTGACATGTGTCACGCGGAAACGGCGTGACATGTGAGTGGTCATCGGACAGAACAACCTATTTTCAATGGGCTTCCCATGTGACTTACGTCCTTATGCCCAACGGCCGCTGATGTGTCACGCGGAAACGGCGTGACATGTGTCACGCCGTCATTTGGCGTGAATGACAACGTGTTATACGAGACAAGTTATGCCAAAAAGCGGCTTGACACGAGATTCACACCAAACATTGGCGTGAATTTTTGAGTCACGCCGATTTTTGGCGTGACTTTTGTGTCATGCCGTTTATTGGCGTGACACTTAATTCACGCCCCTGCAGCGGCACGAAGTCACGCCGATAGATTTCCAATGATATCCTACGGATAATTTTGAAAAAAAAAAAAATACGATTTCAAGAAATCCTAGGAGTCACGAAGTCAATTTGATTATTGTGTAAGAGTGTGGAGAAAGAAAAGAAGTGGTGTTGTGAAGTTGTGGCTCAGGGGACTACCAATGGCAGTGGTACCAATGTGGTCGATGTGCCATCCGTCGAAATTTAAACTTGACAATAAATAGAAATCAAAATGCTGGTAAATTCAAAAAATTCCAATGCTAATGTATTCCGCAGTGTTCTGACAATGGAACATCTTTGAAGTCCATCATGATTAAAATGTTCTTAGCAGAAAGAAGTCAGTAAATTAATTTTCTCGGGTTGGCAACTATTTTCTCGGCGTCTGCGCCCTTGCGAAAATCGCGAAGCTGAAAGCGCCAGCAGTCGCGCATTAAAACTGCCCCTCCATTGTTGTGGACGTTGAATTGTTTGGCTTGTTTCAAAAGGCTACGGTTCTCTAGTCATGTTTTCTTCAATTCTGTGTAATAGTTCTCCCTTACAACGTATCAACACCACGACGGTTGGTTTGACAAACTTCATAAACTCGGGAGGGATGGTTTCGAAACGCGGGTGAGTCTTGTTCGAGGAACATGAGCACTGCAAGTCGCGAGGTGGAGCGAAGTGGTCCTAGTGCTAACTGAATCACAACAACAACACTGCGCATGTCCAAAAACACTCCAATCAAGAAGTATTATTGGATAGTTCTACCCGAAAAACTGCGTTCGAACCGGCACCAATTCTATTGTTGCATCTTGTCTACCTGCAGTCAAAGAAATTTTTCATTTCGAACGTTGCTTTTTCAGCTTTTGGAGTAAGCTGTACAGACCCAAAAAGAAGCTCCGCTATTGGTCCGCCCCGGCTCGGCTCCCCCCACTCCCTTTTTTTTCCTTTGACGAGTCGAGTTTTGCCATGGAAACGGCGATTTTGACAGCAAATTTCTCAAAATTGGCCACCAAATTTTTGACTAGATTTCAACATCAGAATCAGCGTTCAAAGTTCTACTAGTCTGCAAAATCTCATTAAAATCGTATAGAAAACTTCCGAAATGCATAAAGGGCCACACAAATCAAATCTCGAGCCGGCTGAGTCCTGGGTATACTATAAGGCTACTTCGTGCCTAAAAAAAACAGAATTTTTCGTACCTTTTTGCCACAGTGAAAGGGTAATGCATTCTTACAACCTGTGACCCGACTATTACGCTTCCCTACTCTACAAACATGCAACTGGAAATGTAAAGCCGCTAATTTCATATCATCCTCTCATCATCCTCTCTTCCTGAAGGCAAGACGGCCAGATTGCACGTTTGTAACACAAACCCGGACGCTCAACGGTTCAACGAAGATTGTTTCTAAAGCGAGTTTTTCACCTTGAAACTCCACCCCTCGTGTCAGCACAGGCCCCAGATCAACTAATGGAAATACTGTGCAGTATTTCACTTCATAACTTTGCTTGGGAATCATTGTGTTATAAAAGTTTCATTTTCTTACGTACGTGCCAGAATCCGCATGAGGGTAAACAAAAACTTCTGCGCAGGCCAATCTTTTTTACCGCTCCTCACACCAACCGAAGGGCGTGACACGACCAGACATCCAGATCTCAATTGGAGGAGGCAGGACGACTTCGAAACTACCTGCATCTTGCCCTGAGGGGGACCCGGCGGGCACCTTCTACAACCAGCTGGCCTTCAACCCCATCAACTTGCACCCGAAAAGCCGTGGCCAGGTGAGATGTCGGGTCTGAGGCCGCACTGGCGACTGCCCACTCACTGCAAATCCAAGCCTGATACAGCCTAGTGCGAACCGCTTTGTCTCAGGCTTACAAGTGAAAGCCACGTTCGTCCCACGCTTGCAAGTGTGAGACACCGACGCCCCACACTTGCAAGCGTGCGTACTATGGTTGTGTTTTTTTCATGTTTTTTAATCTTCGTGTTTCATGATGAGTTTCTATTGAGTTTAGAGTGAGGAAAGTCATTATTTAGTGGTGACGGACATTTTTTATTTGAAGAGTGTTTCGACAATGTGAAACAGAAAAGAGTGTTTCATTGTTGCAGATCCATGTTTTACGCTACTCAAATCAACTTTTACGCAACTCAAATCTAGACGATTCTATTTTATTTAGTAAGACCTTTATTGTGTTATGAAACGGAATGATTTTTTCAATTTTTAATCGTTATCGATTGGACAAAAAAAGGGAGTATTCTCCCTTAAAAGCAATAGGGGTTCTCCTTCGTCGGAACCCTAAAAAAAAAATATATTTTGCTCCCTTGATATGGATTACTTCTCTTTTGACTGCTGTTGTGAGTGGGTACTCGGATGAACACTTTAAATGTCGTATAATGAAATTTGACTTATGTTATTCGTATGTTACAGTGAATTCGGCTCTAGCATAATACAAAGCAATATTCCTTCGTAATACGAAGAAAAACCACCTACGTATAATGCTTGCGCCATTTTCTTTGTATCATGGGAAATTTCCTCGTGAGACACTTTGAGTGAAAGCTCCCTGCGCGAAACGCTTTGCAGATTCTCCTGAACAAAAAGGCACCGTACGGCCCTCCGCTCATCTTCGGCAACGTGTTCGGGGACGAGTCGGACCTGCTGCCCGTCATCGAGGCCTACCAGCTGGTGGCGCGGCTCAACGCCACCAAGGCTCTCCGCAGCAACGGCGTCCAGGTCAGCGTGAGCACGGCCAAGGCCTGCGCCTCGCTGCGCTTCAACAGCGACGCGTTCTGGCGGTGCCAGCTCAAAGGCAAGGGCAAGGCCAACCAGCACCCCACGTCCACCTGCAGCATGGGGCCGGACAGCGACCCCCTGGCTGTCGTCAACCCGCGCCTCCAGGTCAGTGCGGCGTCGGCGTCCCACAGTGGGCCGGGAGACCGGCCCCAAATTCTGGACGCGTTTTGAGCTCCAGAGTCGCTAAACGGGACTCGAACCGAACGTGTGAACCCACCAAGGGATCGCTCTCCGAATGGTATGGGAACACTGTAATTCAAAGAGGGAGACATCGGACCAATTTTCGGCCATACAAAATGTCTATCCCACTCGGAGAAATAATGAAGATTGTGGCTGTTAAACCTAATGCTACTCTCCACTGTTCATCCACTGAGGCTAAAAGCTACGAAAAATTCTGTAAACAGCTTGTGGTAATTCTCCGTAGCCCCCTTGTCAATATTCTCCGTAGGCTCTTACAGTATTTTCCGTAGGACCGCACAGTATTCTCTGTAGGACCTTACAGTATTCTCCGTAGGACTATACAGTCTTCCATGCCCTACGGAGAAGACTGTGCGGTCCTACGGAGAATACTGTACGGCCCTAAGGAGAATACTGTAAGAGCCTACAGAGAATATTAATAAGAGGGCTACGGAGAATCCTGCCAAAAAAGTAGCAGAATTTTCCGTACCTTTTTGCCACAGTGTCGGAAGAAGGTGCTTACCGTACCGTGGGATAAGTAGACACTGTGGCTCAAGGAACGGCGTTCACTGTACCCTGGGAGCCCGCAGCCACTGTACCTTGGGAACTGTTCAACTTTACAGACTCTGCGTTCGGTACAACTGTTAAATAAAGGCAACACTGGTAAAACTAAAGCGTAACTCTATGCTTGAGTCAAGCATAAAGTTACGCTTGAATACGTTACGCTTGAAATCAAGCATAGGCTAGAAATTCCCCCATGCATTTAGATAGGGAAAATCTTGGCGGATGAGCCTGCTACGCTTGATTTCAAGCGATTTCGAGCGTAAACTGATTACGCTTGAAAGCAGTGGGTAATACTACGCTTTAGTTTAGTGAAAATTTCAAAGTCGCGATAGGAACGATTTGATAACGGAAATGAATTCATCTGAACGAAATAAACAAAACATTACAAGCATTTTGTAGGCTCAGACTCGAAACTCTACGGAAATCGTGGTCAGAAGTCCAAAAAGTAGGATTTTTGAGTCCAAAATCCCACTTTGTTAGACTTCTGATGCCGATTGGTGTTGAATTTCGAGTCTGAGCCCGTAACATGCTTAACATTTTTTTTTTTCGCGGAGCGAGTTCGCGAGCGGCAGCGAGCGAACTCGGCGTAGCGCTACTCGCCAGCCTGCCAATCTGCGTGTCTGTTCGTGACGTAAGAAAAATGTCCCGGACAACAGCCTCAGGCCTAAAAAGATATGTCTGTTCGTGACGCTCCTAAATGTCCGGGACAACTGCAAAATGTCGCGGACAACAACCTCAGGCCTAAAAAGATATGTCTGTTCGTGACGCTCCTAAATGTCCGGGACAACTGCAAAATGTCGCGGACAACAACCTCAGGCCTAAAAAGAGATGTCTGTTCGTGACGCTCCTAAATGTCCGGGACAACTGCAAAATGTCCCGGACAACAACCTCAGGCCTAAAAAGAGATGTCTGTGACGCTCCTATATGTCCGGGACAACTGATGTTCGTAACGCTCTAAAATGTCCAGGACAACAGCAAAATGTCCCGGACAACAAACTCAGGCCCAAACAAAAATGTCTATATGTGACGATCCTAAATGTCCACGACAACAGCAAAATGTCCCGGACAACAGCGTCAGGCCTAAACAAAAAGTATCTTCCTCTGTTTATTTTTACTATATTCATTCGCGGAGCGAGTTCGCGAGCGGCAGCGAGCGAACTCAGCGTAGCGCTACTCGCCAGCCTGCCAATCTGCGTGTCTGTTCGTGACGTAAGAAAAATGTCCCGGACAACAGCCTCAGGCCTAAAAAGATATGTCTGTTCGTGACGCTCCTAAATGTCCGGGACAACTGCAAAATGTCCCGGACAACAACCTCAAGCCAAACGAAGATGTCTGTTCGTGACGCTCCTAAATGTCCGGGACAACTCCAAAATGTCCCGGACAACAACCTCAAGCCTAAAAAGAGATGTCTGTTCGTGACGCTCCTATATGTCCGGGACAACTGATGTTCGTAACGCTCTAAAATGTCCACGACAACAGCAAAATGTCCCGGACAACAGCGTCAGGCCTAAACAAAAGGTATCTTCCTCTGTTTATTTTTACTATATTCATATGCGTATACATAGTCGAAGCTCTATAGTCCAAGCATTATAGTCCAAGCAATATAGCTCTATCGTCCAAGCTCTATCGTCCAAGCTCTATCGTCCAAGCTCTATCGTCCAAGCTCTATCGTCCAAGCTCTATCGTCCAAGCTCTATCGTCCAAGCTCTATCGTCCAAGCTCTATCGTCCTAGCTCTATCGTCCTACACTGGTAAAACTAAAGCGTAACACTATGTTTGAGTCAAGCATAGAGTTGCGCTTGAAAACGTTACGCTTGAAATCAAGCATACTCTGGAAATTTCCCCATGCATTTAGGTAGGGGGAATCTTGGCGAATGAGCCTGTTACGCTTGATTTCAAGCGTAAACAGATTACGCTTGAAAACAGAGGGTAATACTACGCTTTACTTTTACCAGTGTAGCTCTATCGTCCTAGCTCTATCGCCCAAGCTCTATCGCCCAAGCTCTATCGTCCAAGCTCTATCGTCCTAGCTCTATCGTCCAAGCTCTATCGTCCAAGCTCTATCGTCCAAGCTCTATCGTCCAAGCTCTATCGTCCAAGCTCTATCGTCCAAGCTCTATCGTCCTAGCTCTATCGTCCAAGCTCTATCGCCCAAGCTCTATCGTCCAAGCTCTATCGTCCAAGCTCTATCGTCCAAGCTCTATCGTCCAAGCTCTATCGTCCTAGCTCTATCGTCCTAGCTCTATCGTCCTAGCTCTATCGTCCTAGCTCTATCGTCCTAGCTCTATCGTCCAAGCTCTATCGTCCAAGCTCTATCGTCCAAGCTCTATCGTCCAAGCTCTATCGTCCAAGCTCTATCGTCCAAGCTCTATCGTCCAAGCTCTATCGTCCAAGCTCTATCGTCCAAGCTCTATCGTCCAAGCTCCATAGTCGAAGCTCCACAGTCGAAGCTCCAAAGTCGAAGCTCCATAGTCGAAGCTCCATAGTCGAAGCTCCATAGTCGAAGCTCCATAGTCGAAGCTCCATAGTCGAAGCTCCATAGTCGAAGCTCCATAGTCGAAGCTCCATAGTCGAAGCTCCATAGTCCAAGCTCCATAGTCCAAGCTCCATAGTCCAAGCTCCATAGTCCAAGCTCCATAGTCCAAGCCCCTACCCGCCATAGTCCAAGCTCCATAGTCCAAGCTCCATAGTCCAAGCTCCATAGTCCAAGCTCCATAGTCCAAGCTCCATAGTCCAAGCTCCATTCAAGCTCCATACGCTCCATAGTCCAAGCTCCATAGTCCAAGCTCCATAGTCCAAGCTCCATAGTCCAAGCTCCATAGTCCAAGCTCCATAGTCCAAGCTCCATAGTCCAAGCTCCATAGTCCAAGCTCCATAGTCCAAGCTCCATAGTCCAAGCTCCATAGTCCAAGCTCCATAGTCCAAGCTCCATAGTCCAAGCCCCAAAGTCCAAGCTCCATAGTCCAAGCTCCATAGTCCAAGCTCCATAGTCCAAGCTCCATAGTCCAAGCCCATAGTCCAAGCCCATAGTCCAAGCTCCATAGTCCAAGCTCCATAGTCCAAGCTCCATAGTCCAAGCTCCATAGTCCAAGCTCCATAGTCCAAGCTCCATAGTCCAAGCTCCATAGACCAAGCTCCATAGTCCAAGCTCCATAGTCCAAGCTCCATAGTCCAAGCTCCATAGTCCAAGCTCCATAGTCCAAGCTCCATAGTCCAAGCTCCATAGTCCAAGCTCCATAGTCCAAGCTCCATAGTCCAAGCTCCATAGTCCAAGCTCCATAGTCCAAGCTCCATAGTCCAAGCTCCATAGTCCAAGCTCCATAGTCCAAGCTCCATAGTCCAAGCTCCATAGTCCAAGCTCCATAGTCCATATTCTATAGTCCAAGCTCAATAGTCCAAGCTCCATAGTCGTACGCTAAGCTTCATAGGCCATTTAATTTGAGAATAAAATCTGTCGCGAGTAGGGTATGATCTTTCGCGAGTAGAGTAAGATCTGCCACGAGCCCGTTAGGTTAGGTTAGCATTGGTTGGACCATTTAGTTTGAGAATAAGATCGGTCGAGAGTAAGGGAGGGTGGGGCACCTAGTGACACTTTTTGGATTTTGGCACTCACTTCGATACTGTGCGAGAAATGAATCTACTTACACCTCAGAAGGTTGCTTTGATCCTTCCTTGTTCGAAATAACATGTTGTGGCGTTTTGACAACACCTATTTCTATTATTTACATAGCTTCCCGCAGACCTCTGCACTTGTCACTTGGTGCCCCAGCCCGGGGCACCTAGTGACAGGACATGTACCTCACATTACCAGCATAGAGCGACGCTCAAGCTAATTGAAAACTATCCGTTTTGGACTCTTTAAGCTTTTTAAATATCAAACCATTCTGAACGGCGCCATTTTCCCCAAGAAACTGCATTTTACTAAATTGCCAATCAAATTCAATGTTCTACGACATTGTCGTTAAAAGTAGTCTCATTTATGTTTCGTTGTGTGACAATCGGTGACAATTTACTTCGCGGTTGCCAAATCGATGTTTTGAAACGTTGAAATCGTTGAAATACGGTAAATAGAGTGTGTCTGTCACTACCTGCCCCGGGGGCTCATTTTCGTTCAAAATTTGATATTAAGGAAATGAAATCACATGTTTGAGCTGGTTCAGCGAAAACAACTTACTAAAGGTCCTTATTATTGATTAAAAGTGCCAGAACGATCGGCAGTGCCGTTTACTGGAAGAATGGCGAGAAAACATTTTGTTAAAAAGTCGTAAAATCTGTGATTTTGGGTTATTATTTTCTTGCTTTTATTCTAGGGGCTAAAATATTTTGTTCAAAGTATCACTTTCACTTGAACATGATTCCACAGC